CTGTTTTATATAGCATAGAAACCATGAAGCCAAGACAAGACATCTATAATTGAAGGTTTTTTTGGGTTAGATCGCATAAATATATAAATGTGTCGTTAAGACCCGCCACCACCCGACACAGCCAACTAGTGACGTGCCAGTTCGTCACTAGTACAGCACACCGGTGTGTTGGAGAGAAAAGCCACAACATTTACAATCTGAGTATGACGTTTCGTCAGTAATCACAACTAGCTTACAACTAGTTGCAACTAGCTTACAACTAATTGTAATATATATATTTACGCGATCTAACCCAAAAAACCCTTCAATTATAGATGTCTTGTCTTGGCTTTATGGTTTGTATGCTATATAAAACAGTATACAGTACATGTTTATGATTTTTTATGAGTGTACATACAGAATATATACAGTATGCTTAATAAAAACATGCTTTAAAAAAATATCGAGGACTTTTATCTCACACAGGGAGATAAATATTAACATGCTGCTCTTGTCCCTCTGCAATTTGCGTTCGTGCCACCCACAGCAATGATAACTTATAGCACAACATATGCAGCATCATACCTTAAGATGTATGGCCAATGTCTTTGCATCTTATTTATTGAAATTGTTTACATTTTTTAAACTGCCACCACCAATTTATGTTACCTACCGTTTGGTAACATGAATACAGAATTTCCTTATGAAAGACAAACTTCGTTTGGGATTATATCTAGAAGGAAGTCAAATCTTGCGGTGGAATGACTGGACATTGATTTATCTCAAGAAAAGTCTTGTGCATGCTAATTTGATTACTTATAAAGGACCATATTATTTATGGTTGAGACCTACTTGTCTGCTAGGCAAGTGAAATCTTCCTTTTGAAAGTTAAATATTTCAGCAAAGTAATTTTGTGAGAACTCACATTTAAAACATATATGAGTCACGACACCATGGGGAAACTCATTTTTGCACAATATTTTCTTATTTCTTCAATACATTTCCACAATAATTTGTCAGAGGGTACGGGCGATCTGCTGACTCACGTGATGGGCAGTTAGTGTGTTACAACAAATATTGACGAGAATAACATATTCAATGAAAAACACCCCCACTTTAGCAAAGATATATGTAATAACAACAACAAACACAATTCATGCAGTGTCAAAACGTAATCAGATGTTGAGATGCTTTACAAAAATGAAGAATTACAGTAGGAGGGATGTAAAGAGCTCAGTGGAAGGAAACATGGGAAAAAGAGCACAATGCCATGGCACAGTCCCAGATGAAGAAAGGAGGTTCCAACACCAAAATTAGCCACATATAGATATTTGGGGCAGTCGGAGCAGCACCAACGAGTCTCAGGGCATCCTTGAGGGCCAGATGCCTTCACTAACAAGCCCCAAGGCAGAATTGTGTCAGCGCAGGGCATTTTAGCAACAAATCCCAGAGCATATTGGTATTGGGAGGCAGGCTGAGACCCTTCACCAATGAGTCTCAGGGGCAACCGGGGCAGAAAACGAGTTCAAGGGCAACCCTGGCAGCAGACAAGGCCCAGGGCAGAGATGGAAGGCAGCTTTGATAAGTTAATATAGGGATTAGAGGTCAGCCAAGGATTTAAAGACAGTGTGCGCAGATGGGGGACAATAATGAGGTGGATGGAAAGATACAAAGACAAAAGAAGGAAGATGGAAGGCAGGACTCAGGAAAATATTATGAGATATAAAAAATAGTTTTTTGATGCCACTGACTGGAAAACAAATATTCAGCAATTTTTACGTAACTCAAGAATGAGCCCAGACAGGATCCGGTAATCTGCGATGTAATGTAACAGTGGAAAGAAACAGTATTATGGGGAGATGGGAAATCAGGTATCTGGCGGAGAGATGCACCAGTAAAAATGCTAGAAGCGAAAAGATTGTGACTGAAAGAAGCAGTGATACTGGCTAAAGAAAGATAACCAAGGGAGAAATTAATTTGATCCCATTGTCATTAAAGAGCCAAAGGAATGGGCAGATGATGAGGATAATTACACAAAACCAGATGTATCATTCAATTCACAATAATACGATTATATAGTAACGATTTTTATCAATTAATTTACAAAAAGATTGACAATCCCAAAATATGATTGTTGCAACTTTGTACCATAATAACCGTTGTATTCAATGGAGGAAATACTTAAATTATGGCAATTTTGTATCTCAACGAATGTGTAGTGACTGACTCAGAGGCACTAAGAGTAGGAGGAACTCTGTTTATTAACACTCAGTAACTACGGTTCCCAGTCAGGACAGCTGACAGGTAGACTGCCTGACTGGCGACGCCGAGGTGGTGAAGACGGAGACTGCGGCGAAGACTCCAGCAGCACGACGGGATCCCACTCCAAACGACAGCCCCGAGGTCCCCTCCCGGGGCCCCTCTTATACTGGCTCCGCCCCGGCCACGCCCCCCTTCTGGAACCTACTAGCGGGTTCTCGATGTGCTCTTTCCATAAACTTTCCCCTACATCCCTCTCTGGTCTATCACGTGACCTGTTGTCAGTCAGGGCTGCTGTGAGCTGCAGATCCTCTTACTTACCAGCAGCCAGTGCTATGCTGCTACGTGACTGATTCTATATCACTCCAAATGTAAACACATACCATGAAGTGTGGTTAAGAGTAATGTGGGCTCTGACCGTACCCTGACAAGCAACCACCTAAGAGCTTTATGCTCGACAACATGCATCTCTCAGCTCGGCAAAGAGCACTTCTCAGGGTGAGCAATGCTCCGTCAACCAACTTGACAGGCTCTATCCTGTGATGTCCTTTCTAATTTTTTGGCTCTTTCAGCAAAAACTTTAGTGGCTATTTACGTATTATGTATGATACATTCTTACATGCAGTACATTAATGGAAGTGCTCACATGGCCAGAGGAGTAGCCGCACTTTATTACTCTATACAAATGTGCCGGGAAAAATGGCATGCTACTCATAATTATAGTGGTGGGCAGTTATTATTTGGGCTGCCATAAATGCATTCTTTTTGGACATTTTAATACAAACGGTAATGGTATGGTCATAATTTGCCTTTGTTAAGCAACTTGGAAAATGCATGCTTATAGATTATAATCATGTATGCATTTCATCCACTGCATACCATTAATAAAGCATACAATATCCACATGAATGGGTATAAAACACAAGTGCCCGGTAATGTGTGCTGAGAGGCAATTCAAAACATGTTAAGTAACATTAGCCTGAAGAAGACGGCTTGTTTTGCGATCGAAATGTCGTGGGGTTTTTTTTTTGCTTTTAATAAAAAAAAATAGTTTTCTATCTACGTGACTTTACCGAAAGAAGCAAAAATATAATTAATTTTTATCTACTCTTTGGTTCTTTCGGTAAAGTCACTTAGAAAGAAAATAAATAAAATAATAATAGAATACGACGTTTCGATTGCAACACAAGCAACCATCATCAGGTCAAAATGAATGAGAAAACATAGTAAACATAAATATAATGCAATACAACACAGAGATTCGGCTACCACAACAGTCAACACCATACCTGTTTGATTACGTTCTTCCAAAGATTGCTAAATTTGATCTACTGATTTTTTTTCAAATCCTGCCCATAAGATATACAATTAGTTGTAGTTTTTGGCATTTTAATTGTTACCAAATAAACCCCAATCAACCAATATGCATCAAACCTCATAATCCATGCAGGGATGAGGCAAGTTAGGTAATAATTGGTTTGGTGCCCATCAGGACTTTCCAGATGCTGTAGGCATTGAGGCTGCACAGTCTGGCTAAGAGATGACAATGTTGGCCATCAGCATTCGATATTAGGAAGCCACTGGAGTTATGTAGGTTCAAATCTAGATTGGAAACTCATTTTTTTAAATAACTGCTTTTGTGTTTAGTTTGTTGCCCTGCCCCCCCCCCTCACATCCGATTGGAACGGTTGACTACGTACGGTGTGAAGAAAGTTCAACATATGTACTACATATGTCACCCCTCGTATAAATGGGTTTTCTCCGGGTACTCTGGTTTCCTCCCATATGCTGAACACACAATAATAGAATTGGTCAAACGTTCCAACGCAGGAATCTCCTGAAAAAGTTTATTGAGACTGAATGTGACTTTCCTTGGTCATGAATTGGCTTTATTACTAGTTATCATGCTTTTGGTGTGTTGAATGGGTTAAAGGTGGAGATGAAAGGCGAAATGACCTCTACTTTGCATCACTAAAGACTCCACGTTAGCTGCAGCTGTCATCAAGGCAGCAAGGCAGCTACTGTTCAGCTCCCACTTTCATATTTTATAAATCTGACCGAAAATCCACCTTTAAATGTAAATTAGTCTATCAACTTAAAAAAATAGGATCCATACCTCAAATTTGTACTGTCATTTAAATGGGTCTGCTGCTAACAATGGGATCACAACAAAAATAAGAACATCAACATTCGATTAAAGTTTGTTTTACTAGAAGCATAAGTAGGATGGGGGGGGGGGGGAAATGTCCTCAGGTTTATTTTTTACATCAGGAAAATTAACGTTTCTACTATTGCGGTGATCAACTGTCTGCTTAGATGTCTCTGTGTTCACCCGCAGTGGTTAAATTAAGCGAAAACGAGAGAGAACATCGTTTCTCCACTAAAAATGAAAAATGAAAGTGTGTGTGTTAAAGTGAACATAAAAGCAAAATAACAAAAAATATGGCACTGAGTAATACATACTCAATATTTTATCCGGATTATCTTCTCTCAGATGTGAATTAAACGTTTGCATGCTGGGGTGGATTTGTTCATATTGTGAGTGTTCTTCTACCAGAGCGTGCTGTGCGCGTGTGTGTCCTGCAGCGCGTATGTGTGGTGTGTGCACACAGCCAGGCGTTGAGTATGTCCCTGCGGGGGTGAGCGCCGTGGGTGAGCAACGCCACTCCACGACGCACCATCTCCGCGTTAAAGATCAAGTGGGGCAGTGCTTGTGTTTTCTTTGATTTTTTTTTGCTATCCGTTCTGCCTAATTGAACAAGCGTGGGGCTCCTCCGGACGACAGCGGCTAAGGTATAAATGAGAGGCGAGCGCAGGCGACAGCAGCAGAGCTTCAGGTCACAGGGAGGCGCCACCCGACAGAGACGCTCAATCTTCACAGCCTCGTCTCCCGCTCGCCCGCCCGCTCGCCCGCCCGCATCCGTGAGTCTTCCTGTCTCGCCCTGCGCTCGCTGAGTTGTGGCTTTTAGCACCTGGCTCCGTCCACCGCACTCAGTTGGCTTTGCCTGTAATTTTATTGTGATTTTTTTTTTTTTACAAAACACAGACAAAATACCTTCGTGGTGTTTTACTTGAAGAGGCGAAAGGATTTTCTAAATCATGTGCAGTATGCTCCAGAACTCAACATTAATTTTAGATTAGTCTTCCACGAATAGTTTGTTGCTTATGGGAGAAAACAAATATTGGACTTTCAAACATTACTGGAAAATGTCTAATCACTTTTCCGTAGTCTAATCTGGAAATAGGATGCACAATGAATGTGAATTAAAACAAATGAGAACCTTACGGTAATAATAGTCAGTAAAAGCCCGTACTAACTTCTGGAGTTTGACAAGATGCTATCGATTCTAGATTTGAAGCTTTCGTGACTGCAAGGATTCATATTCTTAGGTTTTTTCGGTAAAGTCACGTAGGTAAAACATTAAAATTAATGAAAGTAAAATAAAATAAAAATCACGACGTTTCGGAGGCAACACAAGTCTCCGTCATCAGGTGGGACCGTCACAGCCAGATTTGCTGTGACGGTCCCACCTGATGACGGAGACTTGTATTGCCTCCGAAACGTCGTAATTTTTATTTTATTTTACTTTCATTAATTTTAATGTTTTACCTACGTGACTTTACCGAAAAAACCGTCACAGCAAATCTGGCTGTGACGGTCCCACCTGATGACTGAGACTTGTGTTGCCTCCGAAACGTCGTGATTTTTATTTTATTTTACTTTCATTATTTTAATGTTTTACCTACGTGACTTTACCGAAAAAACCTAAGAATAAGATGCTATCGAGCAATAAAGAACTATATAACATGTTTGAACATACTATAATACTAATGTACAACCCACAGTGAATTAAAGTTAATAACCCTTTTTTGTTCTGAATGAAAATAACTTCAAACGAGGAAACAAACGCGGGAAACAAAGAGTCCTGCGTCACGTCGGTAATGTTTAATCTTTCCTATCGGCAGGTTGTACAGTACACTATTTACACGGCGTGTAAGAAGAAGTGCGCATCTCATTCGTGCATCGGCACAACGACACTGGTGCTTGAGTATAATTAACAGAAATACAGGACACGCAATGAAACAACCCATGTATTTTAATTATATTTACTTCATAAAAGCGTTATTTATAGGATGATTATTTATTTTCAGAATCTGCTCAGTCTTTAGCCAACTTCTGAAAATTATAATAGAACTATACCAATGAAAACATTTGGTACAATTTTAATTCAATAAATGTAGAGTACTGCAAAGTAAATACATTGATGCTGATTTAGCACATACCAATTTTGAAACATGAAACAAAAAAAATCGCACCTCTGACAACATTCGAATCTATCAGTAATGTACATAACCTATACAAATTGTAGGATGCATGTATATGTGACGTAATAAAAAAAATTGCCTGTGAAATGCAATGGTCTATGGGAATCCATGGTTCTATAGCAATGTATCTATGGCCATTTACACGTCTTGTATGGAGAATGTGTGAAGTGTGTGCCTAATTGCATTACCTTCTCTATGAGAAATCCCATTGCTTAACCAAACTGTGACAACTACATTTCATTGAGTACATACATTTTCAAATTGTTTATTTTTTGCCGTATGACTGAAGTTAAATATGTAAATACCCCGTTTATGTAACCTATTGTAACTGTGTTTAAGCCACTGTATTTAAGGTATTAAGCGTCCAATCAAGATTATATAATAAATAAAACTCTAATACATATTAAATTTTGACTTAGTGCTTGCGTGACTGCAGGATTTCATATTCTTTTGGTCTTTTGTTAAGTCACGTAGATAGGTTCAAATTAAATAACAAAAAACTACGACGGTTCGATCGCAACACAAGCGGTCGTCGTGTGTTGCGATCAAAACATCGTAGTTTTTGGTTATTTTTATTTATTTTCTTTGAACATATCTACGTGACTTTAGCGAAAGACCCAAACAATATCTAATACATCTTCTTGGTTCTTTCGGTAAAGTCAACCAAGAAGATGAATCCCTGCAGTCACGAAAGCTTTAAATCGAAATATCTAATACATATTGCGAACAAAGGCCACTTTGGCATTACGTGCATAATCCAAATGTGTCTCATGGGATGTTTTGTCTTTTGTTTTTCAAAATATCACACATTCTTTGCAGACATGAGGATTGTTTTTCACGAGACTTTTAAATGTACATTTTAAATAAAAGTACATTACTTATATTTTGCATTTGTCTTCAGGTCATATGCTTTTAAATGTAATGAAAAAAACAATTTTACCATCTTCATTAATTTGTCATGCTATTACATATAAAGGAATACGTCAGAAAAGTACTTGCAATAAATAAATGTGCATCAGTAAAACATTGAAATATAAACGCTGATTATTATACCAACTTGCTCTTCTGATTTTTGTTGTTTTCATTTACTGAAGTATTCCAACATGAAATGCATTTGTAAACGCTAACACACTGCATTTGTAATGTCACCATAGAGTACATCCACGATCGTGCGTGCTCACTCATGTCACTTACATAAATTCTTTACTCCAGACATATGAGACCTGTACAATGTGTACCAGATCTCACTAAGAGATATTCGTTAATGGATTTTAACCCGGTTACACATCGTGTTAGTATGTTAGCGTGCACATACGCTTGCATTGTCTACAAATATGCATAATACATTCATTATGTATAACATACTCTACGCACGCAGTGATAAAATTCAATGTTGTATTATTGCCAACGTATGGCATCATGTAAAGCATTCTAAATAGAATATGCGTGATAATTTTTGCACAGACGTGAATGGTTCGAGAGCGCTAGTGGAGTGTGGTTAGCGAGCTGCGCGAGTAAATCAGCAACCCGCTGCACTGTTCACGGCCAATGCCAGTGACGATTCATCTGAACCAGTCGTGGGCCTCCCCTAGGTCGACTCAGCCTTATACGATTACCTGGTGCGATGTGTAAACATCGCCACTTGGGAGACAGAAGGGGGGCTCGCGGGGTGCTGGCCACCCACCCCTCTGGTGCCGTCCCGGCCTTCATAGGCGCTTGCTGACAACACTAGCCCCCCAAAACTGTTCACCCTATACGGTAGATCTTTGCCTTTAGTATCGGTGCATTATGCATCGTGAATTTATATGCGCGCGCGCGCGTGTGTATGTGGGTGGGCGCTGCCCATTGTGACGACAGACGATGATCTCCCCACGTGTGCGCCTGGCCGCTCTGGCGCTGAGCGTGTGCGCCATCCTGTGTCTGGGGATGCACGCGTCCGCATTCCCGCCCAAGCCCGACAACCCCGGAGACAACGCGTCGCCCGAGCAGATGGCTCGCTACAAGGCGGCCGTGCGCCACTACATCAACCTCATCACACGCCAGAGGTCCTGGCGGATTACCGCTCGCATCGCGGCTCGCACGCGGCTCGCGTGGCACGCGTGGATATGTCGTGGGCTCGCACGCGGGTCACGTGGCACACGTGTCTCGCGTGACGCGTGTGAATAAGATGGACTCAACCACGTGGCTCACATAGCTCACATTACACGCGTGAATAACGTTGGGCTCACATGATAAACATGGCTCACATGGCACACGTGAATAACATAGGCACGCATGGCTCACAAGGCACACGTGGTTCACACGCCCCTCCGATTAGCACGGTTGACTAGTCACGGTGCGGAAGAAAGTTAACGTACATGATAGACGTGTGAAACATGGCTCACGTTGGAACACGTGCAAAACACTTCACACCAGGGCACACAGGCTCACACGGCTCCCGTGGCTCACACAACAGACCCGCAACAGGGATACACGCTTGCTGACACGACTTAACCCAGGTCATGTACATAACGCGCATGCATGCGTGCGCACTAACTCGTATTTGTCCTTTGCCCGGATTAATGTGAAGTTCTCACATAGCCATTAATCCCTACGGCTCGCAATCCGTAGGCATGCATCACCATGAGAACAATTGCAATGAAACTGTCAATCTTTTCGCGATGTATATTTCGGTAATTATCATTACCGAAAGTATTTTTGAATTTACATACGAAGTCGCGAGCATCACAAGTGCCGCATATGATGAATACGGGGGGGGGGGGGCATACGTATTACAGTACTGGTGGAAATTGTATTTTTTATTCATTGCCATATTTTACCTGGATAGTCTCTTGAGATGAAACACTTCATTTGCAAGGTTGTCCAGGGTGTCAAGTGACGCACAGTGATGGCAACTGTACATATATGTATGTATGTTAAACTTCTTTCGCACCGTGCCTTGCCAACCGCGTGTTAAATTTACGAGTGCACACGTCAATTCTTGCCACCCAATACGGTGAGGTTAACATTGGCGTATACGTGCGCATGCCCACAGGTATGGTAAGAGAGCCCTGACCCCGGAAAACTGGATCTACCGAGACCCGGCAGAGGAGAGGGTCACCTATGGGTGAGACTTCCCGTCACCGCTTCAACTCATCCTGAAGTCTGCTGTCGTGAGGACTCACCTTAGTCCATCTGGATTTCCTCTCTCTGCTCCGATAAAAAAAGGCTTATATTCAGAAATATGTTGTGTTTTGTAAATGTTGTAAATAAGCAGGGTGAATGATGGTGGTGAGTTCTTTTGGGTTTGTACTTATACAGCTCTGCAAATGCAGCCCCTTCCTTTCATACATTTAATCTTCTGAAATATAACGTGATAAAGTTGTGCATTCATAAATGTACTTACTGACTTATGCCTTAGTTAAGCCCATTTTAAATGAATAATCTGGACAATGTCTATTATGTTAGTATTAACCGAAAAGGAAGACAAATTTACGAACCTCTGAAGTATGCAAATGTTCTCAATCAGTTCCATATTCATCATTACTTCTTTTACTTTATTTAATAGATAGCGTGCCATAACCTTTTCTATTTCACCAATCTGCCAGCAAAGTTCTAAAATTCGTTATCTAAAACATGTCTACCACATCTATTTTAGTGTATTAGTCCTGATTTGTCACTGTCCGTAGAGGAGCGATAGTCAAAATTGACTAGATAGTTTGGGAACAAACACGCATTTAAATAATACATAGATTGCATGAAAGAAAGTTATAACATGAAAAACAGTGTGTTAAAAATAAATCACACCGACTAAAATATATTTAAAGGAATAAAATTTGCCGGTGTATAATCCTCGTGAAAAATACTTGTGATATATTTTGTTCACGTACATACAAAGACACAACAACCACCGTTCTACACGAAGTGGTGGTGATGTCACCACGATGCGCCTTGAGACAAGAAAAATGCAAATATCCCCCGTGTAGCCTTTACAGACTTTTTGGGCCAGTGCTGTTAAGTGAGCTCACATGAAGGTCGGCATACAAGGGGGTTTGTTTGGCCAGAGCCACGTCCTTGTGGCCATGTTTACACATCGCACCAGGTCCTCATATATCCTCGGGGAAGCCCAAGGACAGGTTCAGATAATCGTCACTGTTATTGGCCATGAGCTCCTTTGTGACACACACACACTCTCATGCAAACATTGAATACACGTGGCGTGTCATCAATGTGGCGTGTCATCAATGTGGCACAGTTGTGCTTTGGCCACAAAACCGTAAAAGTATATTGAGTCACCATAATACTCGTATGTTGCTTTACAAAATAAAGACCCGCAATATATTGGGTTGTATAACCAAATGGAGTACAGAGTAAGCAAGCGATGGTGCACTGCTACACCAGGACAGGCCACGAGAAACATTATGGTTCAAGGCATGATGACTCACCTTTTTTTACATCACGGGACCTCCTTTTCCAGTAATAAAATGTGAGAATAGGTTTTTCCCCTTTCTTCTGGCAACAAAGCAGGTGTTAAGATGTTAAAACACCAAAGGTTTCAGTTTGGTGTTATAACATCTTAACACCTGTTTTGTTGCCAGAAACAAATGGGGAAAACATATTCTCACCTTTTTCTGTTTCACATTTATTTTGTATTTGTTATATGGATAGTTCTGTTCCTGGCTAACAAAATGGACCCATGCTGTGTGAGCACAGCAACAACAAAACAAAGACATAAATATTGCAGAGAACGAGTACACGGTTCTTAAGAGGTATTAGTGGTAGTGTAAACGAAACGTGCGAATGTAATGTAATGCAAATGTTAAATGAAAAAGTTATGTACAGGTGCAACTAAGCTCTACATTTTAGTTTAACAGTGACAAAACACAGGCAAATCGAAAGAGACAGTGTGAACATCTGCGAGCTAGAGGCACCAGAATACAAACATAGGTACAGGCGCAAGTGTTCTCTGTGTTTCAATTTAAAATAGCATGAGGTGCATATCTTCTCTAACTGTAGCATACAATATTTGTTTTAAAATAAAGCTTATTTATAAAATGCTAATGCATCACTGCAGTTAGCATGCTAAATTTACCCAGGGTTATCTAGCTAGGTTTCAAGCACTGCAGCAGTATGTATCCGATATCACCGTAAGACTCGATTAATAATTGTTTTACTGGGGCTTAACACACCTGTGGTCCCTCTTCTATGGAGCATACATCGCTTATTTGTGTGCTAATTTGTGACCCATGTTTTTTTATACATCAAAATAATACCCAACACACCAGTGTGACAGCACATAGAGCCAACTGGACAATGCACTCAATTCTAACTCTGGCTGCCAGTTAATTGAGCTCTTCATAATTACATTACTAACACTTTTGTGAGAAGTCAAAACTGGTTAGCGAATAATTAATCTTGTTCCTGCCATGGGAATGTGGAATTTACACCACTTGCTCAGGACCGCCAGCTGAGTAAATACGGGTAAAACGAATTTCTATCTCGTAATTAAATGAATGTTTACAATTCAGGGTCATTTATTGAAAGGTTTTTTTTTTTTACAATGTGGTGAATATGGTATACCGGTCTCTAACCATTGCAAGGGTCACATGAACCCATTTCATGGAACATTGATTCTTACGCATTCAGTCTGATGCATTTATTGTGAGCGGCATAATAAAAATTAACCAGTGAACGAGGTACGCTCAAAGAGGAGATGTTTGGATATGGGGGAGATATGTTAGCTTGGACTGGAGTTACGCAGAGCTACGTTTTCCTTGAACAGATAACAGTCACACATTGATCGTGGGCTCAATACTGATGGTACACTATCGTTGTTCATGCATACAGAGCTAACAATGGTTCTTTGTGTGTTCCCTATCCAGGTTGGACGATTATGCAATGTGGTGATGGCGGTACATCTCAAACCTCGCCTTCCTCTTCACCTCCTCTTAAATTATTCTGGCATCAAGGTTACTTTATGAGCATTTAATATCACGAGCCTACATAGTTTACTGATTACATTTATTGTAAATAAATATGACATTCATGAGTTAAAATACGACAACAGTCTCAGTATATCGCGTATTAAATCACAATATAATGTGTTTCATTCTATGTAACACTATTTTCATGCCTGACTGTAGGATGGTTTAAGTCAAGCCACTCTCCAGTCACATGGCTGCTGTAGTCACGTAATAAAGTGGGTCTACGCAACTATTCTGGTTAATGTCAAGCGCCGTTAAGTCAAATAAAATGCAAAGTGATGTAAAAGATCCGTTGTCGAATGTGCTCTTGAGTTGCACTGCATGTTGTTCGGCATGACGTCCGACGTTTCACTACCATGACAAACAAACACGCGGGGGTACAACCCGAAACAATAAAGGAGAGCTATATGGAAGCGCTAAAACGTACACCGTCCAGTCGTATCTGTTATGCGAGTGATGTGAACAGCACATAATTCATGCAATATTACCGGAGCCTTTTTCTTTCGTTGTAATCATGTGAAACCTTACATATTGTGATAACAGTGTTAATATCTACAATATTATCCAACTCTCCCTAACTATCCCAGCAGTATTACACATCTAAATAATGAGCAGAGGTCAATACGCATTATTTCCAGTTAAAATTGTTAAATGGGGAAAGATTCACGGAGTATCACGATTCTTTTCCAAGCGCGTTCTGCACTGGGATATTTGGCCATTACCATTAATGAGTGTGTGGGGGTATATGGGAGAATACGTGAATACGGTACTTCGTGAAAAACAACAGCGCATGAATGATTATTCTGAGCACTGCCATCTCTTGGCCATACCTCCAAGCTGTACGTCTACACCACATGACAAGCTCTGGTTGTCAAATCTCAGCAGACACCGCAAAGGAAGGTCCACAACAATGGATAAACATGAACTGCACTGTAGTCATTCACAACGATGTCAGAATTTACGATGCTAGACTACGCTTGCGATTACTCGAAAATCTTGAACCCAAAAATCTACCCTATCAAACCCAATCCCTCGTCCATTTTTTCCCCTCAAATTATTCATTTGTTCACGACTAATCAATCCCTCGGTCAAACATGTTTGAGTAAATGGTCAATTAAATTGAAGGTTGTCTCATTGTTGTTCTTTCCTGTTCATATTGCTTGGACGGCATATAATAATCTGCCTCTGATGCCCCCAAGATTATCTTGAGGTTGTTATCTTTCGAGCTGGCATTTAACCTATATACCACCCATATTAACCACGTTTGCATTTATCTGCGTCTGTCACGAAATTTGTTCTGAAGCCTGAATAAACCCATGTAAGTAAATACATCCATAACCGACATGGCACTCCTCTGCCACATGCAAAATTGACATATGGGACAGTGAAATTACTACAATATCCACTGGCAGACAGACAAAATTCCAGCGCACTTATCATCATCCTCACGCTGGGCTCAGTGACTTCTTCACTTTATCACATATGCATGTGCTGCAGTTGCGTTCAATCCTACCAAGCTACAATGCACCTGCATAACCCACGTATATTATGCAATGATAAAACACCAAACAACTATTTGAAAAAACACCCGTATTGCATGTGAAACACCTTGGTTTCCATCAGAATTATTCTAGATTGAAAACCCATTTCTAAAGAACTGCTTTTTGTGCTGAGTTTGTTGTCCTTCCCCCGCACCTCCAATTAGCACGGTTGACTATGTACCATGTGTAAGAAGTTCAGCATACATATGTAATGACATGATGACACCTGCTGGGTGGAAAAGGGAAGCACGGGTACGGGCACCGCTAAGACAACATCCAATCTGAAAGGGAGAGGTATCTGAGGTTCAGGTAATAGGAGGGGTTGGCCGAGATGCTCCGGGAACCTGATCGAAGATTCCACGATAGGGCATGGTCAGAGGCGGAGCCTAGCCACGCCTGGGGAGATATAAGCGGGGGCGGACCAGGGCTCGGGGTTCGTGTGTGGAGTCTTGGGTCCGGACTGCGTCTCTGCTCGCCGTCATCTCTCTCCGTCGTCCGGCCACGTGGAAGATCTCCTGCGCGCTTCCATCACCATCCTTGTCACGCCGCTAGCCAGCGGCGTAGCCAAGTGTGGATGGTGGAACTGCACCGAGTGATCGACCGTGAGTGCGTAGCCAGTCGAGACGCTAATATCTAAGTGTTGTACTCAGAGTGAGAAAGATAAGGTTGGCCTGTGTTGTGCCTGTGTAAGAATAAAAGAAGAAGTACCTTCTACACGACGTGTCGCAGAAGTCGCTCATTACACATACGTAATCAATGTATTCATATTTTATCCCCACATCAACAATAACCGATTCATGATGACAACAGTTTTCGGGTCGTTTAAAGTTTCACTCCACATGGTCTATGATGCAACAGGCTGATAGCAGTTGGGAGATCTATTCTCTTTGTAATGACGACTTGACACACTTGTCTTGAGATGGTTTCTTTATTGAAGAGACACGTTCACTCGAACAGGCGGAAACCCCACAACAACAGCCCCGAGTCTCCCACGTATCTCCCTTATATATGGACCGAGGCCACGCCCCCATTCACGAACCTTCTTGCTGACTCTGGACGCTGGCTCTACCAGCAGACTCTACCCTCCTCTTCCGTCACCTGGCCACGCTCCAATTCTCGATCATTCCCGTAGCCATCAGTCCCACCGTACAGCAAGCTGACACCCCTGTCATTACCTCCCGTGGCCACTAGTCCATTCGCACTGTAGGCTGACTCCCCTGTCCTTACCTTCCGTGGCCACTAGTCCATTCGCACTGTAGGCTGACTCCCCTGTCCTTACCTCCCGTGGCCACTAGTCCATTCGCACTGTAGGCTGACTCCCCTGTCCTTACCTCCCGTGGCCACTAATACACTCACACCGCAGGTTAATTCTACTGTCATTACACCGTCGTGGTGACCAGCCCATGGTATTTCTGGGCAGCACCAATCCACACGTATTGACTCTGCCCTACTGCACAGGCCATCCCCTTTCTCAAGCTCTATGCTCCATTTAACAACGTCGCCAAAAAAGTAATAATCGGTTCCAGAGAGGCATGTGTCTCTCTTCACACCCACACACACAGTTTCTCGCATCACCACACGCTGCCTCCAATGCAGCCCCCTGCCAGGCAGCTCATCACTGCCTCTCAGCCTCAAACTGCTCCTCTCTTGTGCTCCACATCACACCAAACTTGACTCGTCATAACCCATAGAAGCTTTTGCTGTTACATTTAGAACTTATATTGACTCAGTTGCACGGCTAATAAACTTGTAGGGGTGTCAGGGGAAGGATTCCCACCAATAGGTGGGTTAGTGGGAGGGGTGATCGAGGAGATATAAGGAGAGAACGGGCGGGAAGAAGGGGCCTTTGGCGGGAACGATATTGGGACGGCTGGGGACAGGTGTGGATGGAAGAAAAGGAATAAAGGACGAGACCCCTGCAGTCTGGTGTCGGCTCCCCTTTACAAACTCTTACACTCGCCCACATTGTGCCACTCTATCTCCAGCAGCTGCAATGGTGGCATCTCTCCATCAGTTGTCAGCACTGCCCCACTACATGCTGGGATCGGCACCGGTCGGCTATCCCAGTGCTAAAGCAAATAACTTAACACTTCCGAAGGTCCCCAGAACAGCTTCTCAGTTGCAGTAGACGCAAATCAACCAGGCCGTTGGTTAGCGATACCTGCATAGCTCAGCCCATCAGCAAACATACACTTTGCTGTGTCCATTTCCTGTGGCCAGTGCAAGTTCTGGGTCAAGTGGCATTCCAGCGGGTGATGCTGCACAAAATCGCCGAGGTGAATGCCACACAGCATTTCAGGGTGATACAACCCACTGCTCTTAGTTTTGCTCACCTTCCTTTTCAGAAGCTCGATGCTTCAATGAGTTTATTTGCCAACACATATCCATTTGCAGTGAAAAATAAATCCACTACATGTGAACGTGCATGATTTAGAATGTCCCAATTTTGCATATACCGTACTGTACGTATCAATACTTGATTGTAATATATTAATAAAGAAATACGTTATTATAATCAAAGCATGCTTACTTTCATATGTACAAAATACGAAGCGTGTGTGTGTATGTATGATGCTTTTTCAGTTTATATATACAACTGTGGTCTATATATGTCTGTTAATTAATGCTTGCTTTGTACTTCAAAAATTCTAAATTATAGCATTCATTATATACAAAGTAAATGGGCCATGCCACCCACAATTTAATCAAACAGAGCCCTATTTGCATGGATGTTTTTGAATATATAATTTCTCACACATAGCCAAGCAGTTGAAATAAATAGCATCAGCTCATTTGTTTTTCCAAAACTCTTACTCTGTAAACTGTTCCAGAACATAATTTTCATTTAAGCTACATTTTATTTAATTTGCTTTACAATTTTCTCAAAGTTATGGACATTTAAAGTTAAATATAGTTTAATGACACCATTTATTGTATCACCGTTCCTCATATATTTTTGCATCTATAATTGTTTAACAATATTTTCAGTTTAGATTTCAGCCATAGCAATGAAAACCCCAAAATATAACTTTCATTCTAATTATAAGATTGAATGGATTCCTGTATTTGCAATAAAAACACTTTTAGCCCAAAATGCTTAATTCTTTCCAGATGTATACAGATTTTAAAACAACTATATGGTACTCTCGTTATAATACTGAAATACACACCATGGGCTCAATTTAGATAGACTTTGGCCATCATTATGCCATTTTTGGGTGCAATGATGGATAATTTCCATACATAACCAGAAAACGTCACATTTTTGCCATTAACGTGCCATGAACTGTGTACAAAAAAAATATCCGTAACGTCTCATGCTGAAATTTAAAAATGGGCTAAAGTGAGTGGGGTCTGGGCAGAGACAACAATGGCAAAAACTTTGCGTAAAAGTATGCAATTTCAAGAATTTTCTGATAATGCAAGAATTGCACAAAATCATGAAATTCGGCCACATGCCTCAGTCTTCATACCATGAAATCATCTCCTATGTGCGTTGTTCATCTCCACCTCTTGAGACCATTGTGAAACTTGTGCCTAAATAATAACCTTCGAGGTTATGCACAATTCAAGTAAATATTTCAACAGTAATGAATATTTAATGTACTGTACATTATAATTGTGCTTGCATTAAAACTGACACGCAAGACAGATCTTTTTTAGCTAATAATTTAGATTTTAATGTTTTGTTTATCAGTTAATTTTTTTTATGTTATGAGTAAAAATAAAAAAAAACTGTAGTATTTTATTAAGCATTAATATTTTAAAATAATGAAGCATTAAACAGCACAATACAAATAGGAATCTGGAATAAAAATTGTACTTCCTCTAACCATCATCTAATGGAACAAAAAAATCGTATTGCATTTACAAGGACATGCACTTTATTAAAATTCTTTGGGCCCAGTTATGAGGTGAGCGTACCAATTAAAATACACATTGGAGAGCTCTCAAAACACATTTAAATTCAGGGATGGCACGCCTGGAGACATCCTGATAAAATAAAGCACGGTGTTGACTTGACCATATTGCGTACATTTACGATAAGAGTAATTGCCATTGGCCAAAGTAAGCATGTACCTTTCATTGCCAAATACACATAATTGTTCAAATGTAGATTTGAAGTTTTTGTGACTGCAGGGATCCATACTCTTTGGTTCTTTCGGTAAAGTTACGTAGATATAAAACAAAATAAATTCAATCACGACGTTTCGGGTGCAACACAAGCGTCCGTCATCAGGTGCGACAGC